GTAGATCACGGGAACACTAGCAAAAGGCATCACGGATTCCGTGACCACAATAATATTTCAAGCTGTTAACTGGCAATGGTTTTAAAAGCTTACAGGGCGACCCAAGGGTTGAACCAACTATTAAGATTGTAATCCAGAGACTTTAGAAACCATTTATTACGGAATTCACTTTTCGGGTTCTACATTAATGTTCTGCTTGCCCTTAAAATCGGCGCAAGGGACATATGAAACAAGTGTGTAGAACTTGTGGGGGCTATCTTCATCCTCGTTACGCTTCCGGGACAGCTTCACGCGGACACGGTAGGGAACATTGCGTACGCCCTTGGACCAGAGAAATCTTAATAAAGCAGTAAAGATATGTTGAGAAAAATTACTCGTTCAGTCGAACATTAATTCTGACGTCCTCGGTGCCCATCATTTTCCTCGCAAATTTCTTGACCTCATTGATGGCTCGTGGGGCTCGCTTTTTAAACCCGATACCATGAATGCGACGATGCAAATTAATTGTATATTCGCGAGTTGCGGTGTCCTTACGAGTAGTACGACGGGTCTTCTTTTGAGAACGAGCCATCGTAACACGCCCTGTGATTCGAAAAAGTAGCCACTAAACACCACTTTTATGTATTTAAACAAAGTTTATAGTCTCACTATGCAAAATTCACTACCTATGATTATCAGCAGACTTCTAGTTTCCTGAATAACCCTGCACTGCCCTTTGTGGATCAGTATAGGATTTAAGCTCCAGTTGCATGCATGAATGACCCAAACTTACCTAGTTGGAAGGGGGTGAGGACTTTCACAAATGAAGCAATTTAAGATAAACGCTTGGATGAAAGGGAAATACTGTAGCAATTTACTTTGACATAAGTCACTTTATTATTGGAATAAGGATTTTGCCCTTGAGCCCCCTATTCATATCCAACAATCGCAAAAAAATAACTTAGACGACCGTACATATGTGAACTGTGGAGTGAACGTGAGCAGAATGCTTAAGTCTGTCGCAAACGGTCGTTACTGACACAATCTTTATTTGATGCACAATAGAGTTTCAGCAAATAAGAAACGAGTTTGCATTTAATTTTCCGCACAGTTTCTGAAGGGGACACTTCGACAGGGAGTCCGGTACATGCTCCAACGTCCACTTGCGAGAAGTCATTCCGTCAAACGTCTCTATGGGTCAACTTTTGCAGTTAAATGGTTTATTTCGCAGATGGTTCGTCCGAGCCATTTTGAAGAAGTCATGAAATTCTAAATCCAGGTCTGGCGTCCGTGGTTCAAGAAGGATTATCTGCACCTGGAACGAGTGCATGCGAGGGCTACGAAGATGGTCAAGAATATCAGTCATCTGCATTATGAA